CCTGCAATCTCCTGATTCGTAGTCAGACGCCTTTCCAATTGGGCCACGCGGCCGTCCTTAAAAGCCGGGATTCTGGAGCTTACAAGAAGTGGTATCTTCCAAATCGCATGTACTGCGACTATGGAATAGTGTATTAGCTCTGAAATCACGTGATCCAGAAAGCTCCATGACTGTGGGGCAATAGCTCATTTGGTAGAGCGTTCGCTTCGCATGCGAAAGGCACCGGGTTCGACTCCCGGTTGCTCCAAGGTTCTCTTTTTTGCGGGTCTAGAATGGATCCCATTCGTCGGCGCGCGCCAGTCGCACGATTTCCTGTGCATAGTTCAGCTAATACACTGGAGTAGTGATGGAAATTTAGCGTGATTTTTGCTATTGAAAATCGCTGTCACATTCGGCTAATTTTATTAGAGAAAAGCGATTGCTAACTGAAGCTGTTAGAAAGTAGAAAGGGTAGAGGGTGTAGTCGAGCTACTCTACACTCTACAGGCGACGGAAAGGTGAGCAAGAAACGATATGATCCTTCCTTTTTTTTTAGAGCGCATATGATGAAAAAGCGAGAATCTACCTTCACTAGAGATTATTCCCAAAGGTAGAGAGAGGCAAAGTGTTATGGTACAATGCTGATGGCATCCACGCAGAGCAACCAATGCATGTATGAGGTTTGTTGGATATGTGCATATGTTGGGCGGGTTGGTGTTCAAAAGTGTACAGTACCTCCCATTAACTAGCTGAAGGACGATCCTTACCGATATTTATGCTTTTCACGAGGCTCTAGGTGGATTTCTTTATGGGAAGGTGAGCATATCAGTCGTAGACTTCCAGTGCGTGGCTGCCCCCTTGCCAAATAGAAGTCAGAGGAGGAGTGCATTAGGGAAATTTGCGTAGACAAGGGTGGATGGCGATCGAAAGAGGAATATAAACTTCATAAACTAGTGAATAGAGCAGAGAGAAGAAAAAGCGCAAGAAATTGAAGTGTGAAGTAGGTAACCAAAGAGGGGATCAGATCAGAGGCAGGTTACGAAAGAGGAAAGAGGATCAAGGTGAACTGTTGTAACCTCCCTCCCTCCCTGCGATTAATTGCTTCAAAACCATCAATCTCGCTTATATAGGGAGTGGCACAGGCATAAGCTCGGGTTCCACCTGGGCGGTTGCTGTTGCTGCTAGGTTTAGTAAGATGACATTTAATAGACATGGAAAATATAGTGACTCTGCACATTATTGACTAAAGATTCAGCTCAGCGATACGACCATTACTAAAAACCCGTCCCATGAAGTGATGCGATGCGAAAATGCCTGGTCAATAGAGACATTTAATTATGTACATGCAGTTAAAAAAGACTATGCGGAGAAAAAAAAAGTGAAAAAGCAACCAAGAGCAATAAGGCTGGCGAAAGAGAAGTGAGGCAGCGGGGGCAAGTAGTGGTTGAAGGGTAGACTTCTTGCCTATTTCACGTGGTTGTCATCGTGCCACTCGAGAGTTACGGCAGACTGTAACGGTAGAAACATACAGCCCCACTTGTCAGGAAAAGCAAAGACGACTACTTAAAAGGCAAGGGCATCACCCGAAGACTCAATGCTCTCCTTGACGAACATCTCCCAGTACTGATAGATGATGGTGGTGCAAAGCAAAATACCCGTTCCAGAGCCAATGGCGCCAATCAGATCAGCCAGGACCGAGACGGCACCAAGGACAGCACCACCAAAGGCAGCAGCAGTGGGGATAACACGCTTCAACTCCTTGTACATCGAGGCATCACGGTGACCAGCCATGACCATGTTCTGATCCTTGAGCTGCTTAGCAACATCACGGGGGGACGAGCCAGAGACCTCGATCCAGGTCTTGGACAAGAGGGCACAAGCAGTCAGCATGAAGGTGATGTAGACAACGGTGTGAATGGGGTCAGTCAAAGCCTCAGTGATGCTGTGAGGAGGCGACATGTAGTAGGCCAGACCACCCGAGGCAACCATCTGGCTGGTACCCTGGTAAGGCTTCCAGGTGCCGAGAATGCGGACCAAGATGTTCTCGGGGAAGCGGTTGAAGACCATCTGCGAGATCATGAACATGTTGGAGGTCAGAGCCGACTGCAGCATAATGGGCATGTTGGAAGTGTAGAAGAGCTTGACAGGGTAGGTACCGCGCTGGCCACGGAAGCGAGACGACTTGACAGGGAGCTCAACACGGAAGCCCTGCAGATAGATGACAATACCGAAAATGAGGACGGTGGCAAGAAGGTTCATGACGTTGGGCAGGTTCTGGCGATAGAAAGCCTCCTTCAGAGCACGGGTCTTGTTCGAGCGGGTGAAGAGCAGGTGGAACAAAGCAATCAAAGCACCCTCGAACTCGGGGCCGTTGCCGACATTGTAGGTGGTGGGGCTGAGGGCCTTCCACAGAATGGTCTCGCAAACGTTGGTAGCAATGAACAGCGAGATACCAGAGCCAAGACCGTAGCCCTTCTGGAGAAGCTCATCCAGAAGAACAACAATGACACCAGCAACAACCAACTGAAGGATCAAGAGCAAGCAGATACCAGCACCGAGCTCAGCGGGAGGACCGTACAGACCGTTCATGACCGAGACAGTGGCCTGACCGAAAGCGATCAGGACAGCGAAGACTAGATATAGAAAGTAAAGCAAACGGTCGGTCGGTGAGCAAAATGGTGTGTGTTGTATGTACTTTGCAGTGTACAATGACGGGAGATTAGTAAAGCTACTTACGCTTCTGAGCACCATTGAAGAGAGAGCGGTCCTCCTTCAAGGAATAATCGACTTCAATCAAGTTGGCACCAGCCAACAGCTGCATGAGCATTCCGGAGGTAACAACTGGGGTAATACCGAGTTCCATCAGAGTACCTCGGTTGGAAGCAAGAATGGCACGCATCCAGTAGAGAGGATCAGACGAGTCGGAGGACATGATGCCATACAGAGGAACCTGCGAGCAGACTAAGAAAATGAAGAGGGTCACAGCAGTCCAGAGAACCTTTTGACGGAAGGGAATCTATAGACGAAGGTTGTGCCATGGGCAAAGTGTGATTAGAACCGTGCGTGGAAAAAAACAAAGCGTTTAGCAGCTCGTAGACCGCACACTTTTGTCTGAAGCCTCATTTCTTACTTTGCGTTCAGGGGCAGCAATTTCAGGCAACACAGCCATGAAAGGCCGGATCAAGTGGAGGAAGCGGACTATGAGAGAAGAACGTGAAGGCAATTAAAAGGTTAATACAAGTGTCATCTTCTGAAAGTGATCTGCTGGGATAGGCAACGTGGGATAGAGAACTGCAGATAACCCGTGCGCGCGTATGTTGAAAAAGGATGTTCAAAGAACAAGTAGACACGTTTGCCATCTTGTATGGATCAGAAGAGATGGTGTCTCATCTGATCATTTCTTCCAAACCCAGCAACATCGTGATGACTTAGGTACGTCCACACACTTTGGCATGTTGATTCTGTTGTCTGCTTTCACTGCTAGTAGGCAGTACTCCTTCATTGACTTCAGGGCGCGAGAGAAGATGTGCCTGGTGCTGTCTTTTTTTGATCTCCTGTATTCCTTGACTGTGGGATCTGTATGCTGCATCAGGCGGACGTGAAGCGTGTCGCCTGCGAGAGAGAAAGAACGTGAGAAGAGGAGTAACTTACAGCCAGCCATCGTAACCGAGCGACGTAGACGTCGTTGACCAGAGGAGAGGGAATGGGGAGGATGGGAGGGTGGGCGAGGAAGAGAAAGATGGAGGAAGAGGAGGAGGATGGAGATGAAGAAGAGGAGAAGAAGAGATGGGGGTTACTGGAAACTCGCGTCGCTCATATTCCTGCCTATTAGGTTTTGTCTCTCGAGCTTTTACCACCACGACCAATGGGCGTGCGCCATTCAATCTTCTCTCATCTTCCTTCCTGAGCCAAAGGGAATCTGTAACTCGCGCGATCATTGATTCCCACGACGAAAAAAAAATTCATTTCCAAGTGTCGTAACTGGCGCTTAATTACTATATTCGGTCCAGAGTCAGCAGTGGCTATAGCAAACCCTTCTTGTGTTGGAACAAACGACTTGGTTCTTTGGGTTGGTGCTCTTGAACGGTCCCGAGGTGGCAATACTCGCCCTAGCACCTTTCATTGTAGCGCAGGCCTGGAGTATTGTGATCATCGATTTAACGAACTTTGTGGTTACAGTGCGCGGTACAAAAGCAGCACAGGCTGAGTCGACAAAACAGTACACCAGCACAGACTTTGCAATGTAGCACGAAGAATGAAGAAGGGGAGTGGGCCCAAGGCTTTAATGCGAGTATCTTCTGAATCTGGCGATGTGCCACTGTAAGAAAACGCTACTAGAGACACGTGCACAGCTTTATCTGAAGGCATTCTTGGCTACCATGTTCTGTCTGTTGCGCGCGAAAAATTCCGTCCGACTCTGAGCACTCGTCGCCATCATGGGACAGCGTTTAATAGGAAACAAAAAAGAAAACGCGAAGAAATAAACAATAGATACATAAAAACGTGTCTACCGGATCTCTTAACGTTTATAAAAAGCCTCATTAGACTTAGTGCGGAAAGCCTTTGTGGAAGTGAGTTGTCCAATTAATGGTTAAGGGCCGATACAATTGATGGGTTCCAACAGAAAAACACTATCGCTCCTCGAAAGAACACTTGGATTCGCAACACTCTGAGTAATATACACGTTCTCTCCAGTTCATGATCGAGTATTGGGCAAACTACAATAAACTATATGCATCCACACTCTCAACATGCCAAATCACCCTATGTACATGAGCCGTAATATCAAACATTAGTGTTCTTCAACTACTTATAAATGAGATGAACGTGGCAACGATTCTCAATAGCAAATCACGTTAATTTTCCATCTCATGAAGACCGCTATCAAACATACTTTGACAAGTATAGGTAATTTGCCCATCATATACAGCGATGCAAATCGACACGAAGGAAGAGTGCGTTAAGTAATGTCCGACTCCTGGAAATTAGGATACAGTCTTTTCCAAATGGCTCTTAGTCGTAGAAGATTGTGCAAATATCGCATGTTCTTATAAAATCCATGGTGTCAGAATAAGTCGCACAAATTGAAGACTGCCTGCTCACATTCTGTTTAATCATCACATATCTCTCTTCAACGATTCGCGTCTTTGTGCCACTTTGGTGCCCCCTTCAACAGCCAGGCATTCACAACCCATTGTTTGTTCACAAGGCTATTGTTGACATGGCGGCAAAAGGCGTAACCTAAGGTGAGCATGATCCAAAAGAACT